ATTTGGTGTCATCTGCAAATTTAGCCACTTCACTGCTTACTCCCATCTCCAAATCATTAATGAGCAAGTTAAAAATTATCAGACCCAGTACTGAGCTCTATGGTACCCCACTGCTTACTACCCTCCACTGTGAAAATTGCCTATTTATACTCACTCTGTTTCATATTAATTAGCCAGTTTTTGATCCTCAAGAGGATTTGTCCTTTTATCCTATGACTATTGAACTTACTTGGGAGCCTTCGATGAGGAACTATCAAAAGCTTTCTGGAAGTCAAGTTAAACAACATCTATTGGTCCCCCTTATCCACATGTTTGTTCACCCCCACGGCTTCGCCCGATTTCCTCCGCAGTTTCGTGATCCTCAAAAAACAGGATCACGAAACTGCGGGGGAAATTGGGTGAAGCTGTGAGTCAAAATGCAGCTTCGGGTGTGAAATTGACCAATACTGTCGAGGCCAATGGCGGCGCAACCTCGAGGCAGCTCTAGTGCGAAATCAGCCTCAATCTCTTTTTTCCCACTTGAACACATATTGACCCAATCAATGTGGTAGTAGTTAAAAATCACCTATTACGACAAAGTTATTTCGTCTAGACGCTATCTTTAATTCATTCATCATTTTATAATTCTCCTCGGTCTTTTGATCTGGTGGGTGATAATAAACTCCCAGTGTAAAGCTTTCTTTTGTACCCACTAATTCGACCAATAGCGTTTCCAGAAGCAAACCTAATTCTCTTACCTTCTCAGTCTTACTGGACTGTATCCCCTCTCTGACATACAGAGCCACCCCACCTCCAACCCTCCCCCCATCCTCCTGATCTAATTTATAAATAGGAATCACTGTATCCCACTGATTTTCCTCATCCCACCAAGTTTGGTGTAGTGGTTAAGTGTGTAGACTCTAATCTGGGAGCACCGGGTTTGATTCCCCAGTCCTCCACTTACACCACCTGGATGACCTTGGGCAAGCTATAGTTCTGGCACAGCTGTTCTTGAAAAATAGAAGTTTCTGGCAGAGTTCTCTCAGCCCCACCTACCTCACAGGGTGTCTGTTGTGGGGAGGGGAAGGGAAAGGAGTTTGTAAGCCACTCTGAGACTCCTTTGGTAGTGAAGGGCAGGGTATAAATCCAATCTCTTCTCCTCCTCTTCTTCTTCTTTCTGAAATACCCAGAATGTCTATGTTTTCCCCCTACACCAAGCATTCCAAATCCCCGATTTTATCTCGGACACTTCTAGCATTTGTATATAAACATCTATAATTTCCCAGGCATGTTAGGCCCACAACCTTACTCCTGCTGCATCGAGACCTTGCCAGGTAGTCTCTTCCAACACTGTGATTCTATGATTCTATTGTAAATCCAAAATGTCTGTTGTAGGTTCTGTGGATGAGAATCTATCAGAGGGATCAGAACAGATGCAGCAGTAGCATAAAGCTTGGTTGTAGACAGTGGGTTGTTTGGTATGCTTAGGATCATGACTGGAGGCATGTGAATATGTTTGGTGATCAGTAGGTTTCCAGCATAAGGTGGTTTTTATCATTCCACTATGTATTTGTACAGTAATGTCTAGAAAATATATTTGAGCACATGAAGCTGCCTTATATCATATCAGACCTTTGGATCATCAAGGTCAGTATTGTCTATTCAGACTAACAGTGGCTCTCCAGAGTCTTAGGCAGAGGTCTTTCACACCACCTACTGTCTGGTCCTTTAAACTGGAGATGCCAGGAGTTGAACCTAGGACCTTCATCTTGCCAAGCAGGTACTCTACCATTGAGCCATGTCCCCTCCACACATACTTCTTGTCTGGATTGATTCATGGTCAGGCTGATGGTAGGATGGAAGTTGCTGTATGTCTGGTGAAATTTCTCCATGTGTCAAGATGATAAAAATGTCATCAATACATCTCAAGTACAAGATGAATGTTAACAGATGGGAGCTGAGAAAATGCTGCTCCAGGTCAGACATGAAAATGTTGGCATATTGTCATGTCATGTGGATGCCCATGGCTTGTGCCATTGATCTGAAGGGATAGATCATCATCAAACCTGAAGTAGCTGCAGGTGAGGACAAACTGGCAGAGCTTGGTAGTGAGATCAGCTGTGGAGTTGTCATAGATGGTGTTCCTAAAGACTTGTAGACCATCTTTGTGGAGGATGTTGGTGTATGGAGACTCAACATCCATGGTGGCCAAAATAGTGTTACCTGGAAGAATGTCAACAGATGGTATTTTTCTCAGGAACTCTGTGGTGTTGCTCACATTACTGGGGGCATTGATAAATTCACATGGGTAGCCGTGTTGGTCTGAAGCAATAGAATGAAGTTTGAGTCCAGTGGCACCACACAAAAGCTTATAGCCAGAGTTAGACTTCGTTGGTCTTAAAGGTGCCACTGGACTCAAACTTTGTTCTGGGGGCACTGATGGTATAGACTCGGCGACTGGAGTCCATGTATCAAGACACCCATACAGTGCCTATGCTGAGAGAATAGGATGTTCTGGTCTTATGTATTTTGGGTAGAAGGTAGAAAGTGCCTAACTAAGGTTCCTGTGGAATTCTGTTCCTGTATGTGTGTGAGCAATTCCTCCATAATCCTGTTTAGTTCTTATTAGTACTCTTGAGTGGTGTCAGAAGACAGTGCCTTGTAAAAAGTAGTATTGAAGAGTTGTCTTTCGGCTTCATGAGTGTAGTCTGATTTCTCCATGATGACAACTGCTCTTCCTCTAGTTCCAGTACATCTGAGATGAGAGAAGGGAAGGTCACCAGCACGGTGCACTTCACTGCATAGTAAAGTATGGCCTTCTTGTTGGCTTCCACTTCCTATACACAACAGGACCAAAGCACAGCTGGAGGCATTACCAGGCAGGCTACCCCGTGTTTCCCTCTGTACTTTTTACCGTTGATTGTTCTTCATTACATGCTAGTAAAGACAAATTGAGGAGTGTGAGAAGAAATGACAGCAATTTGAAAGGGACGGCCTAGAGCCCTCCTTCCAAATATCCCATCCACAAAATTTCACAGGCATTTACCAGTTGTTAATGTTAAGTGACCTTATATAGTTTCACAGTGTATACATCTGGTTGACATGAACAATGTGGATAGAACAGATATCCTCCTATAGACTTTTATCATTGCCACTTGTTGTTCAGTCGCACAGTCGAGTCCGATTCTTTGCGACCCCATGGACCAGATCACGCCAGGCCCTCCTGTCTTCCGCTAGTGCCACTAGTGACATAGAAATTAGCCTCTTCTGAAGTGCAGTCTCTAACAAACCAAAACACTTTGGGATCTTTTCTTGTTAAGTAGTTGTGTAATTTTTTTGACTTTGTTTGTTGTTGTTGTTGTTGTTCAGTCGCACAGTCGAGTCCGACTCTTTGCGACCCCATGGACCAGGTCACGCCAGGCCCTCCTGTCTTCTGCTGTCCTCTGAAGTTGGCTCAATTTCATGTTTGTTGCATCGATGACACTGTCTAACCATCTCATCCTTTGCCGTCCCCGTCTTCTTTGACCTTCAATCTTTCCCAGCATCAGGGTCTTCTCCAGTGAGTGCTCCCTTCTCATTTGGCCAAAGTATTTGAGCTTCAGTATCATTATCTGGCCTTCCAGGGAACAGTCAGGGTTGATTTCTTTTAGGATTGACTGATTTGATCTTCTTGCAGTCCAAGGGACTCTCAAGAGTCTTCTCCAGCACCATAGTTCAAAAGAATCTATTCTTCGGCGCTCGGCCTTCCTTATAGTCCAACTCTTGCAGCCATACATGACTACTGGGAATACCATTGCTTTGACCATGCGGACTTTTGTTGGCAGGGAGATGTCTCTACTTTTTATCATGCTGTTTAGGTTCGCCATCGCTTTCCTCCCAAGGAGCAGGCGTCTTTTAATTTCATGGCTGCTGTCACAGTCTGCGGTGATCTGGGATCCCAGGAACGTGAAGTCTGTCACTACTTCCACGACTTCCCCTTCTATTTGCCAAGGAGTGGTGGGGCCGGATGCCATGATCTTAGTTTTTTTGATGTTGAGCTTCAAGCCCACTTTTGCGCTCTCCTCTTTTACCCTGAGCAAGAGGCTCTTAAGGTCCTCTTCACTTTCTGCCATCAGAGTGGTATCGTCTGCATATCTGAGGTTGTTGATCTTTTCCCCAGCAATCTTAATTCTCGCTTGTGATTCATCCAGGCCAGCATTTCGCATGATGTACTCTGCATATATATTAAATAAGCAAGGTGACAATATACATCCTTGTCGTACTCCTTTTCCTATGCTAAACCAATCGCTTCTTGACCCTTATACAGGTTTCTTATTTATTTATTTATTTATTATATTTATATCCCGCCCATCCCGCGAACGGGCTCAGGGCGGCTCAAGAGACATGTGAGGTGGTCTGGTATTCCCATCTCTTTAAGGACCTGCCATAGTTTGTTGTGATCCACACAGTCAAAGGCTTTAACGTAGTCAATGAAGCAGAAGTAGATGTTTTTCTGGTACTCTCTTGCTTTCTCCATAATCCAGCGAATGTTGCCAATTTGATCTCTAGTTCCTCTACCTCTTCGAAACCCAGCTTGTACTTCTGGCAGTTCTCTATCCACGTACTGTTGAAGCCTAGCTTGACTTTGTTACTATCTATAATTGATATTTTGGCCTATATTTACTCACTAGCAGAATTCCACCTTGCTTGCCAGTTTCTCACTTTTTTGTTACAAGAACAACCCACATTAAGAAATTTACCTGGATATGAGTCTCATTAATTAATTGCAACTTTCATGTATATTTGCCTTTGATTGCGTAGCCAGAAAGAAAGGCATTGAAGAACAATTATGTAGGTTGGGCCCACTTTTGCTTTATATATATATATGTGTGTGTGTGTGTGTGTATAAAATACTGAAAAAACAGCACTGGTTTGAGTGTACTTTATTCATGTCATTTAAATTTTTATTGTCCATATTTCATAATGGTTGGGATGTTATACCCTAGATACATGACCCTAAACTTGAACCATTTGTATTTTAGGTACGACAGCGATGGTTGGTGTCCACCTTTACCAGTTCAGACATACCTGCATCAGGGAATGGAGGATGAGCTTGAAGAAGATGATGACAGAGTCCCTACACCTCCTGTCCGAGGAGTTGCCTCATCCCCTGCAATCTCCTTTGGGCAACAGTCTACTGCAACACTCACACCATCTCCACGTGAGGAGATGCAACCTATGCTTCAAGCCCACCTTGATGAACTGACGAGGGCCTATCAGTTCGATATAGCAAAGCAAACATGGTAAACATGGCAAACCCAGATGACAATACCAGAAGCCGTGAGAGTGCAAAATTTAGGATAGGATATATCAAGCCTTTTACCTTTGTATAGCTTGGAGATTTTGGCACAGAAGGATTCTGCTGCCTTAAAAGGAATTATACTTAATGGCTCAGGAGCCACATGTGGCTCTTTGACATGCCACTTGTGGGTCTTCTAAGCACACCCAATGTGGCACCTATCTCAAGTTTCAGGATCTCATGAGATCAGGTTGTACCATGCCTTCCCTCCATGGAAGCTTATAGCTTATCAAAATGAAAACATCATACAGCACTAAAAACTGATACAACAAATGTGTAACTGTAGCTGTCATTTCAGAGAAGGAACATAATTGATAATACGTCCCACAGATGACATTTGCTTGTCCATCTGCAGAAACCAGTCTCATAAAACCCAACAGGTACAAATCTGCTTCTTTAGGTGGAGTGCAACCCTAACAAGAACAGGATGACTCCCCAGTCCTTGTTTATCTCTGTTGTCAACCAGCAGCACTTTAGCATGGACTGGATAGAGCTTTCTTCGCCCTAGTCCAGCCCATTTACAGTTCTGGAACATCCAGAGCATCACCTGAAATAGAGCTAGTTAATATCCATGTATCCATGACAGCACTGCAAATTTCCTGATGACCTCTCTTGGTAGTTTCATATAGATATTAAATAGTATGGGAGACAAGATGGGAAATCACAGAAACTGTAGCATAAGTGACAAGGAGTCAAGCCACTTACAATAACAGATTGGTGCAAAACCATCTGAGTGCAGTGTTCCTGACACCCATCACTGATATCTGGTCCAAAATGCTTGACATATCAGAAGTCACTGTGAGGTCTCAGAGAATCAACACTGCTAGAAAAGGTTGTGACAGAGAGACCAAGGCAGTTTCATACCAAGCCCTAGTTAAAAAAAATAGACTGAAATGGGTCTAGTGAATTACTTTGTCCAAGAAAATCTAACGTTTCTTGCATGACAAAAGGTATTAACTGCATTCCTCATGACCTGGAGAAGCAACATTTGGGGAACATAGTATTTTTAAAAGATGGAAGTAACACCATCTTTGAAAATGCATCATTCAAATGTTGGTGGTTCAGAAACAACATATGTGCTCATATATACAGTAGTCCAAAAGATTTTGCCAGTGCTCACAAAAAGCTCCTCCTGCCTCAAGACAGTATATATAGATTTATATATAGATTTCCTTTATCTTTAACTTTCTTTAGGAATGCACTTGTGGCCTAGTGTGGAACAAAAATAACAATATTTTGGAGTATATCTATTTACAGATATGCTCTTACATAAAGACAAATAAGCATTTTAGTCTTCCAGTAAAATGGGTTTGTTTGTTTGTTTACTTTGCTAGAGTGCACAGGAAGAAAAAAATTGTCAGCCAAGAATTTTATGAGCATCCCTTCTTTTTTTAAAAAACCCTGGTTTTCAACTAGTATGTATTCCCAAATTTAGAAGAAGAGGAGAAGGTTTTCATACCACACGTTTCTCTACCCTAAGGAGTCTCAAAGCAGCTTATAGTCTCATCCCCTTCCTCTCCCCGCAAAAGACACCTTGTGAGGCAGGTGGGGCTGAGAGAATTCTAAGAGAAGTATGACTGGTCCAAGGCCACTCAGCAAGCTTTATGTGATGGTCTGGGGAATCAAACCCAATTCTACAGATTAGAGTAAACTACTTTTAACTAGGGGGGTGCAACCCCCCCCAAATTGGTAAAATTGGTATTTTGGGGTTTCAGGTATATTGAACCTGGAAAATATTGGAATTTCCCAATATTCCTGAATCCCAATACCAGTATGGTATTCGGATTCAGGATTTATTGGAAATCCCAATTTTTTCTGTCTCTATTATACCCTATAGGGACCATTTTTGCCTGTAGGGACCTCTATAGGGGTCAGGGGCAGTGTTCCCTCTAGCTAGCTCACAGTTTTTTAACCTCCGGCTCACAGATTTTTGTCTTCACTCAGGAAAGATGGCTCCAGAGCAAACTAATTTACGCAGTAACCAAATCGCTCACTCACAACTTTAATGCCAGGAGCTCACAAAGTAGAATTTTTGCTCACAAGACTCCACAGCTTAGAGGGAACATTGGTCGGGGGGATGTTTTTTGAGGTAGAGGCACCAAATTTGCAGCATAGCTGCTGGTGCCTCTCCTCAAAAAATCTCCCAAGTGATTGGATTAGGGGGTCCAATTCTATGGGCCCCCAAAGAAGGTGCCCCCATATTCCATTGTTTCCAATGGAGGGGGGAAGGTGTTTAAAGAGATTGTGGCCCCTTTAAATGCCTTCTGGAAGGTGAACATTCACTCTAAAAGCATGTAAAGGGTTTGTAGTCCCTTTAAACACATTCTCCAAGCCACAAGTTAACCTGGAAGGCTTTTAAAGGGACTGTGATCCCGCTAAACGCCTTTAACTTCGACTATCCGGCAGTACAGAAAAATCCCCAAAATTTTAAGGATTTTGGGCGCTTAACTATTTTGGATAGCCAAAAAGATACTCAAATGTATATTCAGCTGAAAGAATAGCCAAACATACCGGTAAGGCTGATAAGATATTTTCCAGCTTTTTTCCAGCTCAAGTATAGCCAAATGCACACCCTTACTCTAAATCACTACACCATTCTGGCTCTCATTTGTTAAAGCCAATTTTAAAACCATTTAAAGACCATTTGTTAAATCCAAGTTTAGAGAAGAGAGAAGAGATTGGATTTATACCCCGCCCTTCACTACCCAAGGGAGTCTCAGAGTGGCTTACAAACCCCTTTCCCTTCCCCTCCCCACAACTAACACCCTGTGAGGTAGGTGGGGCTGAGAGAGCTCTGACAGAAACTGCTTTTTTTCAAGAACAGCTGTGCCAGAACTATGGCTTGCCCAAGGTCATCCAGCAGGTGCAACTGGAGGACTGGGGAATCAAACCCGATTCTCCCAGATTAGAGTCTGCGCACTTAACCACTACACCAAACTGGCGTTTAAAACACATGCTGAATATTAATGCAATCTCAATTTAGGAATTCTTAAAACATAACCACTTGTCTTGCGATGATTTTCAGTATTGTCCTAAGCAGGTCAATGGAGTCAATTGGCCTAGAAAGGTACAACTCTTATTATGAAGACAGTGTTAGTGCTTAAAATGTATTTAATATGATTGGTAAACTAAGCTACCTAAAGTCAAAGTACTTGAAACTGTATGCGCTAGAACTTATTTCAGTGGGTAGTCGAATCACTGTGTTACAGCAAAAACACTAGGGCATAGGCACAGACTCTCTGGGGTAATGTTTTTGTAATGACCACTGTAAGCATTAAAAAACAGTTTTAGTGCAGCTTGATGTCCTATTCTTTTCTTGAAAGTACTTGGGAATTTGTATGGATTTTCAAGTATAATCTTCATGTTCTGTTGAATATAAGTAAATCAACAAGAAAGATCCCCAAGATGATATATAACAGAAAGTGTCTTAATACAGTTCCTTAGTATTCAGTGAGATAAGAACAGAACTACCAAAATAATGAACCATGAAAGAGATATGTTATGGATTGGAATCAAACTCCCCAACCTCACAGAACAGTACAGAGAGTCACCGGCTTCCAGTCACCTATAGATGTCTTTTAAAAAGAATAAACCTCAGCAAAACTAGAAATGAGTAAAAATGTTAAGTAAATCTAGTGGCTGAGTGGCATAAAGCCAATGGGGGGGAAGTGGATATATCTCATAACATACAGAGGCCAAAACTTACATTGCAAGAGTTATTATAGGTCAAAGAAGCTCGAGCATATTTTCTGCTGATGCCAAAGCCAACTGTTTTCCTTGGACATTTTTCAATACACTAACCCCGTTTGCAATCTGCAGCCAATCAACAGGGTGCTTAGGCCACTTCCTCAATGGGATAGAGCTTGTTTTTGTAACAAGCCAGAAGCCCAAGCATCAGCTAATTCGGGTCTAGGTTAAATGTATAATTGTGCCAGGCAGGACGCAGATGCATGCCCTGGCATGCTTTCAGCCTGTACATTGCAGCTGCTATGCTTCCTGTGGTGGCATACAAACTGCAGGTGCAACTTTTGATGTCAGTTAACATCATGAATCTCATTATGTAATCTGTGCTTTTTAGATCAGGAATTATGCCCCCAATATATATAATATCTCACACAGACTGTGCCTTGACATCATTATGTCTTAACTGAGCCCAAGCACGCACTTCTTTTAATCTAAAAATAGTCCTTGTTGATGGTGTTGCACTTACCATTCATATTACCTCTTTTAGAGTAGCCGTGAAAAGATACGGAAAAAACCAACCATATTCACTAACACTTCTCATGTTCTGAGGAAGCCATATTTGGGAAATACACACTTCACCAAAATTTAGCTTTGAGTAATGAAAACAAATCTTTTCAAATGGTATAATATGTCATAGAAAATAAATTACGCAGCTATAGCAGTGTTCAAGCATACATTCATTCCCATCCCAATAATTACTTTTGAAAGGTCATAGGCAAAGGGAACACTGCCATATTAGTAAGGAAATAAAGTTTTAATTCAGAATGACCACAACATTTTTCTTCAGGATTTTAGGATTGTTCTGAAAAAAATCCTTGCTAGAGTATAGCAAAGAAAACTGCCACTTAGAAAGAATTGGCTTTCAGATTACTTTATATGATTAATGATTCCAAAATTTGATTCCCCTCCACATACACATTCAGAGGACTAGGTAAATTAGAGTTTGTTTACTTCCACTAACAGAGATTCCATACCTGAATTAATTTGTGTTTAGACTCCCAGTTTACAGGCAGCAAATACACTCTGGTTCACCTGAGTACTATCATTCATGGAGAACCAGAATTTGCTTGAATCCATACAAGTGTGAGTGGGGGGGGTGAGGACTGTTAAAAGAGCCCTGGTGGATCAGATCAGTGGACCATCTAATCTAGCATCCTGCCCTTAGAATGGACTCCCAGTGATGACATTGGCATCTCCTTCCTAGCCTGGAAGCCTTAAGTCATTGTTAAAACTCCTGAGTCATGGTTAAAACTCCTGATCCCAATGCTAGTTTTCACACAGGAGGTCTGCCTTCTACATGTACTGTTGAGTCCACCCTCTGAAGATATCCCTTTGATCCTCTGCCAGCTGACTGTGTCGTGTGGGGTACATATGTTACCAACCAGTATGTGCATCATGTCACAAGAGTCCATGGACCCCCCCTCACTGTTGCTTGAGTCAGAATTCTGCAGGAGCCCTGCCACACTGGTGGTGCATTCCCGAGGGCAGCAGGGGCCCTCAGCTGCATGAGCAGGGAGGGGGGTTCCGTCACCACCCCTGCCCTCACTCTTTCTGTGTCACTAGCCTTCCTCTCTCTGAGCGATGGCAAAACCGACTCAGGCAGTCCTCGGCCCCTGCATGTTGCCTTCCTTTTATCCCTCCCCGCTCCCAGGCTCCTCCTCAGGGCCCTCCCCCTGTCCCCCTTAGCCTAGCTCCACCCCCCTTCTTAGAGGAAGACGCTGAGCCTCAGGAGAGGTTCTGATTCCTGGCGTCTCTTGCTGTTGGGCGAAGTGATGTTGCTGCTCCCTTCCTGGTGTGGGCTGTCGGGTTCTGAGGCAGGGGCATGACCATCTCCGGCTCGGGGGGTGCCTCCCCTCCCTCCCTGTAGCTGCTTGCATTCAGTCGGTGCCCCTCGAGGCGCCGTAGCGTGGCTAACATACCGCTGGCGTCTTCGGCTGCCCCACTTCAAGGCTTCCCAGGCCTCTGGGTAAGCGAGGGAAGGCCTGCGGGGGGTAGCAGGTATTGCTGGGGTGGTGGGCAGCAGTGGGGCCATGAGAGGCCCACTGGCGGTAGCCAGAGGTGGCAGGGGAGGCCCGGCAGCCCTGCCAATGGGGGCCAATGGTGGCACAAGGGGCGTGGGAGGCCCACTGGCAGGACACATCACATACAGTAAAATGTACTCTTTTTATCTAGCATGTTTGTTCCTCCAAAGCGGAAGGCTATGTTGACTTGGTTGTTTTTCCATGTAATCTGTAACAAGAAAATGGATTCACCCGTTTTGGTCAAAGTAGTTGAAATATTAAGCCAGTATATACATGCCTAAAAGTATGACTACTGGGATATACATTTTTAAAGAGGTCATGTCTTACAGTCTATTAAGAGAAAATGGCCTTTCGTTGCAAAAAGATGTGGCTTTTGGACTATGTATCTAACCTGACCTTTCTGGCCTCATAAACGCATCCAAAATATACTCAGAAATTTACCTCTGCTGCTTCCAGAATAGGCATCCTTGTAGTATAGTTCTAAGCATTAAATCACGGTATTAATGTTCTCTGGACATATTGTACCTCAGTTGTCATACAACATGGTAGAACCCATGGCTATACTGTATTGGCTATGCAATTTGGAAGTAGTCACGTGTTCTGTTTCAGAGCAGTCAGCACATCCCTTGAAAGTGAAGTTTTATTTCTTTACAACATAGCTATTTTAATCTCTCTGGTGTTAGTGCTATGCTAGACAGTTAGCAAAACCCACAATATACAAATTTACCTAAGTTAAAAACATTAAGTCCAGCTGATCGCAACAGAAGCATTGAATTGGGACCTTAAATTTCACTTTAGCATTCAACTTTGAATAGGTTGTATTTCGGGGGGGAGGGGAGCAGTGTTAATATTGTGATCCTTCCAGAGGTTAAATGCATGATTTTTCCTTTGTTCCAGGCACATTCAAAGTACTACACAGCCACCTCAGACTCCTGTTCCACCATTAGGGTATGTGGCTGGGACTCTAATATCAGAGTTGGAAACAGATATTCCAGAGGATGAAGATGAGGATGATATTGAAGAAGAGGCTATAGAAATCACAAGGCCACTAAGAGGACTAGAGCACACTCCAGGATCCAGCATGGACAATCTAGACAGCTCTGTAACAGGTAGGCAAATGGAACAAATAGTGAAACCCTATTTATGAAAGGGTAAAATATGTCATAAATAAGAATAATGTTTAAGAACATTTTAGTCTGCTCTATTTCCATTGCATTTAAAATGTATTAATATTAAGCACAAAAGTTAAAGAGGGATTTGAAAATGTGTTTGCTTTGCAACAAAATGATAAGAAAATTCATGAATTTTAAAAAGCTTTAAAGACTTGAAAGAAAACTCAATTATATCCCAGCTTTCAAGGAAAGTTCACTCTACTGCAGAAGCAAGTCTATTACCAGGGGGGTGGGGGGAGAGAAAAAAAAGAAACTTGACTTAAAAATAATATATTTTGTATCTCAGGAGCAACATGAAAAGGTGACATTATCTATAAAAGCCTTCCATATTTTTATTGGGGAGAGGCTGTATAAAAAGTGATGAACATAATGAAGTAAAAAGATTTGTTTCTGAATAACCCCAACTAGATCATCCCAACATATGGGCACTGAATTAAGAAACGTATATGTGGTGATGTGTTTCTTTTGTGCTTTCTTCATACTGATGGATTTGATCAGACAAATAAGATTTCATTAATTGAATGGTTTTTTGTATTACTGTTTCTTATTTCCAGCATGTCTAGCAAAGCTACAAAAAGGATAATCATCAAACCTGAAAAATATAAGCTTGCCCATAGCCTCTGAATTTGTAATAAAATCACTGTTGGTGGAAGACTGGCAGCCATTCTGTCTTGTGACAAAGTGCTGTTTTTACATGAATATCATGACCCTCTTCCTAGACCCCAGCAAACTCTCATTTCAGTTGATGTTGGGCTTGTACTTAACGTACTGTAACTAGGTTGAGTGTGGTCTATTGAAGCCCAAGCATGCATGGTCTATATAGCTCATTAAAAATATTGTATGTCTCTTCAGTGGTTGAACTTTATGGGATAATACTAATTTCTGAATATATCTTCAGGATATTTCTGTTCACTAAAGATGTATTAATGCAGTGCCACTTAATTCCTTTGCCTTGCAAGTTGTCTTGAGCATTTCATGCTCTTATCTAAACACTGCAGCTCTGAGAACATGCTACAGTTTCCACTGACAGAGGTGGGAACATGAAAGTAATGAAGCATCAATACCTTTGATTTTCCTCTTCTGCTTGCATTAAAGAGGTGCTGCTTTATCCCACTTTCCAGTTTACTTCCCTTTGCCTTGGGACCGGACTGCCTGCCAAGCTAATTAAGATTTTAAAACTGTAACTCTCCTGCTGCAATTTAAAATTCATATCCAACTGGAGGCTTGAAGAGTTACAAGGTTAAATCTTTAAATTTGGAAAATCAACTTATTACACAATTATGTTAAGCCACTTTTCCTGAATTTCCAGCGTAATCTCCCTCAGACTTTAATTCTGGATCTTTTTGCAGATCTCTTTAATGACTCTGAAACTGCATTAAAAATAATAAGTAACGGTTTTACAGTGACTGTATTTTTTAAAAAAAAATAATCTGCTTACAATATATTGTCCCTTTGGATATATATTAATATGTCAGCATTGATATAGCAAAGGTTTTTTTAAAAAAATGGCATTACACATTTATATTTCTACAACACACTTTTATTCTGTCATTCCTAATATTGTGTGGGTATAATACTTACGACTTCTGCTATAATTTAATGAATCCTGAACACATGCAGACTTGTAATATAGTTATTTTTAATGCTGGCTGTCTTGTTATTGCGCAGAGGCGCAAAGTTATGTGTTTGGGGTCACCAAATCAGTTATGTTAACCTTCATGATGGCGCAAGGTGTCTCCAAGGAAGTGGAAGTAGTATCCACTTGCATTAGTTATCTTGCTGGCAGAAAGTTCCAAGACTTGCAAGTTTATGGCATGTCTATCAAATGTCCAAAGATTTTAATGCCTGAGGGAGAGTCTTTTTTAAAAATTGGTGCTATTCAGTCCTGCTCAAGAAAATAGTAGGCAAATCCAAGAATATCAAAGGATCCGTTTGCAAAAAAACGAGATCTCTTCCATACCCCTGCTCCTTGAATTGAGTAGGAAGCAAAGTGTTTTGTATCATTCAGCCAACACAGCTCTACTTCACCTCCATTAGAATATTCAGAAGCATAACCAGGATGGATTTTAAAGTTTAGGACAGTGATCTCCAACATGGTCCCTATGGAACTTGTAGCCATTTCCTACAAGTTTACTGAGACTAGTGAAGTGTCAAACTCTTCACAGTCAGGTGCATTACAGCCATGTGCCTTGACTTGGCCATAAATACAGATCTTATTATGTCTCTGGACTTTGAAGCCTTTCCTGTGACTGCACATTACAATTTGCAAGAACATTGTAAGTTTTAACTGAGTTCATTACTTAATATAAGTTAATACCATAGTTTCCTAAGGAACCACTCAATTTTTTATTGGCTAACAATAAAAGATTCAAAATAGCATATGCTAATAAAAGCCTTATTAACACACACACACACACACACACACACAATAATTTCACTCTTAAAAATTCTAAAAGTGAAACTTGTGCTGCTGAACTTGTAGCCTGACTAAGAAGAAAACCGATTTCCTTGCACTTAGTTTAATTTACCATGTTGTCCCCTTTGCATATTTAAAGGCAAGATAACACTCAAGACCAATTCCTGCACAACATTTTCTAGGCACTGCATCACTCTCACAGTTGCTATTTTTTTGTTCTTTTTCCAAAGAGTTCATGTGATTCTGTCCTATGTAATTCACGGCCAAATCTATGACTTTTCTCAGGGCCATGTGAATAGCCTGACTCAATGCCTATATCTGCATGGATACCACCTGAAATGGCCAGAAAGTGCAAGTAATTCTCCAGAGATTTGTGTAGTAGAGTCCCCTTTGGTGAATAAAGCAGGATTGAAATTACTTTACATGTTATCCAATTGTTATTTATTTATTTATTTATTTTATTACATTTGTACCCTGCCCTCCCCGCGAACGGGCTCAGGGCGGCTCACATAAGGCACTATGTGCATATACAAATACAAATACAAGATTAAAACAATTTAATGGATAATGGATTCATGGGCAGGGGTCATTTCGTAGAAAAAGAGCTAGGGGAACTCATTAGCATATGCCATACCCCCTGACATCACCAGAAGTGTATCATAAGGCCACACACACCGCCCCCAATGGTCCCGGTCGCCGCCACCGGCCTTGCAGCTCCACTGCCGAGCCCCATGAGGGGCCCGGCGGTGGACCTGCAAGGCCGGCGGGAGTGCAAGGA